GGCAGGAGGATCACTGGGAGTTCGAGACCAGCCTGGGCTCAAGGCCAGCCTCAACTCCATAGTGAGACCCTGTCTCAAAAGGACCAAAAAAAAAAAAAAAAAAAAAGAGAGAGAGAGAACAAAGAGGAAGCTGGACAGTGATTAAGACTGCATGGAGTGTGGTGGGCAGGGATGGCCTTGGTGGGGAGCAACAACCTGAAGAGAGAGAAGGAGGCAGGTACATGGAGGTCTGTAACAGAGCGGGCCAGCAGGGAAGAGCACAAGAGGGGTCCGGAAGCCACCAGGGCTCACCTCGGAGGCCATGGGAAACCCTGACTTTATTCTAAGTGCAGCGGGAAGGGCTTTCTGCAGGGAAACAGCAGTTCTGACATTCTGCCTCCTGCACAGAAAATGTACCGGGAAGGGCAAGGCTTTCTCCTGGCTTCCAACAAGACAAAAACGGTCTTGGGTAGATGAGGACAACAGAGAGGGTGAGGATGCGGCATGTATGCTGGGGTTACACCTGCTGGACTGGTGACAGGGTGGATGTGAAGGCGAGCACAGAGTCCTCCTGGTGGGTCATTACTGTAACGTCCACCTGGAGGGAACTACTCAGCTGAAGTTGAGAGGGCAACAGACAGGCAGTGGGCAGGAGTGGCCACCATGGGTCTGGAGCATGGTAAGATGGCCCAGCAGGCGCCCTGGAGAAACCCTGTCCCAGTTCTGGACCCTGACCCCGCAAGTCACCAGCTCTGTGCCTCAAGCCAGTCCCGTCTCCTCCTAGGCCTCCGTTTCTTCACCTGCCCAGGTATTTGCCTCAAAGGCTCTGTGACAAGTGAGACAATATATTTGATGTGGCATGTAGCACACAACACACCGAGCTCCAAAAATGCAAACTGAAAAAGAAGTCAAGGGGCTGCAGACCCACAGGGCCCCTGTGCCATCTGGGGCCACAGTCCTGCAGGAGTTACTTGCAGAAGCGACGCAACAGAGCTTCCTTGAGAAAACAGCCTCGCCCTTGTCAGCAGAACACCCCCCAGAAGGGATAAACTGTGGCCAGCGGGGCAATGGAAAAGGGTTCCTGAAGCACAGGGCAGGCACTCTGGCCAAGACTAAACATGCAGAGACTCAGGGAGAGCACACACTGAAATCCGTGCCTCTTTCTACTTCCCTGCTAGGGAGCAGGAGCAACACTGGGGTCAAAATGTCTGGGCTCGCCAGGCATGGTGGCCCTAACGGGAAGAGTGAAAATCACCATCAACATTAAAATTAGGGGTGGGGGATTTAGCTCAGTGGCATGAGCGCCTGCCTGGCAAGCACGAGGTCACGAGTTCGATCCCCAGTACAAAAAACAAATTAATATTAACCTTGGGGACCCCTCACCAGGACAGTGACTTGTGCCATCTGACACAGTTCTCCTGAATGTAAGGCCCTTGCTGCACAGAAGGCACTTAATTATAATCCACAAAGGTGGTTCAGAGTGAGACACTGGGGAACCGAGCCTGACTGAGGTTGGTGGGTTCTCACCTCCCACCTTCAGCTTTCCTGGTAACACCCCGAGATGGAAGGGAAGACTATTTCACCTTACAGCCCGCTTTCCTCACGGAGGCCGCCTGCCTCCCCAGGGTGTCCTTGCATCTTGCCTTCTCCTCTTTACTCAGAGCTGGCTCTGCAGAGCTAGTTTCCTCCTCACTCTTCACTTACACTTTTTCAAATAAACTTTGCCACTACTTTTTGCTTGTTTCGTTCATTTCTTTGCTCAAGATGAGAATAAAATTAAAAAAAAGAATTTCCGCAAACTGACTGTGCATCTCAGGCCACTGGGATATATGCAAATGTCAAAGCACACCCAGCCAGGGGTTACCCTCTGGCACCCAGTTTCTGATGAGTTGTCAGGGAAGTGGGCTGCTGGGTACCAGGAAGGGCTTGGCAGCCAGGGGCCACTGAATCCTGCAATCCTGGACTGCACAGGAAGGAGTCACAGAATGGTGGTCCTGTGGGACCTTGGTGGGCTTTTCACAGGTCCACTCTCCAGGAGATTTTTGTAGAAATCTTACCTGGCATAACCTAGGGAAATAGGAAGGTGTAGCAGTTAAGTGCGGACAGCAATGACCATAAAAAACTAAGTTCAGCCCTTCCAGGAACTAGACAGCCTCGCCACTGTTCCCCAGGACCAGGGCACAGATTACTCAAAAAGCACACTCGAGTACCAGCACCTGAACACACCTCAGAGCCTTTTAGGGTTAGAGAGCAGAGGCCTCACACTCGGTTCAGGTTTAACCATTAAGTGTTTTTCTTTCTCTCTTTAATACTCTGCACTCCTTCCACTGCCTGGTCAGATCCTGTCATTCTTCCCTTTTTAAGGCATGCATTCATTCATTCATTCATTTGACAAGTATTTACTGTACGCCTATTTTACATCAGACACTTGTTTAACAGCTCCCCCTTGTACTGGCTAAAATCCAAAACTGCATCTCTCCAACTCACCACAACAAGCCTCTTTTAAACACTAAGGCCTTTTTATCCTGTTTTTCCAACAGGCCAAATTCAGCTCCACCAGAAGCTGCAATTGACAACCCTCTCCCACTTTGGGCCCATGACACACACTGCAGGGTTGGCTCTTGCCGTCATTTGTCTCAATTCAAATGCCACCTTCTCAGAGAAGCCCGCCCTGACTGCCTCTCCAGACACTTGACGCATCAGCTCCTCATGGCGCGCACTGCTGTCTGAGATCATCCTACTTATTTACTCCCTTAACCGCTCTCTCCCTGATTTGAATGCAAACTCTTGCTAATTACAACAGACCTTCAGGAGATATCGGTTGAATACACAGAAAAGTGTTTGGGAAGCCCATTTACAGCACCTCCATTGGTCCTGTGTTATCTAAACCATGCCAAGCACTCTTGTGTGCCACTAGATAGCAGCTGCTAATGTTTCATCTGCCCGCCATGGCATTTCTGAAGTGCTCTTCAAAAGGCAGGGCCTCAGAAGTCAGAATGAAGTAGCTGTTAAGCCAGACGGCAGGTAGCTAATCTCAAGGGGCTGCAAACAGGGCAGATGTGAACTACCCTGCAATCCTGGCTGCCACAGGTGCCATGTACCCCCAGTTCACAGTGACCTGGCAGGGATATTACTGTGGTGAGAAGTCTCCCCCAGCAGTCTGCCCGACTCAGCCTGTCTTCTGGGAGTGCCTGTGGAACGCCTTGGTAAAGGAACTGACTCAGCACTCTACCAGCTGAAACCAAAACCTAGTTAAAGGATGCAAGGGCCTCTGACGCTCCAGGGGGACCCTACTCTTCGAATGGAAAAGGCACCTACCTCAGTCAAGACACCCTGCATCCAACTCTTTATTTTCACCCTGCCAGACAAAGACAGCTCCTTGGGTACCAGAAGACAGACATCCTGGAAAGGGGGATTCCCCTAGCTGTGTCCCCTTAGACTACCACCCTCTCCTAGCAGTGCTGCAGCTGTAGCCTAAAATACTCCAGGGACTTAGTTTAGTACCCAGGCTGCTGGCCCTGCAAGCCTACCGTGGAGAAACGCTGTGGTCTTGTCTGCCTACCCACCCTCACCCCACTGGGGAGCACTTCTTTGGCCCACTTCACTGCCAGGGACCTGTGGGTGCATACTCATCAAAATGGGGACCCTGGGGGCTGGGGATTTAGCTCAGCGGCATAAGCACCTGCCTTGCAAGCAGGCGGTGGTGAGTTCGATCCCCGGTACCAATAAAAAGTTTAAAAAAAAAAATGAGGACCCTGCACTTCTGGAATCTGACGCTTGCCCAATCAGACCCTCTGAGGGATCTGCCCCACCAATGCCTACTCCACTCCTCAAGACCATTCCCTGGTACCCCGTGTGCCAGCTAATCCTGAAACACAGCCTGCAGGTTTCATTCTTCACCTGCTGGCTTCCCTTGATCTACCAGTGTCTGAAAGATCCCTCCCCCAGAAGAACTCTTCATTTCCCTTTTGCCTTTCCTTCCCCAAACTGTCACCCAGGTTCTCATTTCATCTGTTCCTCTCCCACCCAGCGGGGAAAGTGTATCGGAGCCCATGTATTTGTCTCAGGTCTCTGAAGGGTGGCTGACCTCACCAGACAGACACTTCTGGGGTCTGCTTCCTTAGCCAATACAGGAAGAAGACAGTTTTCTCCTTAGAAACAAAAAAAACCTCCCTGGAACTAGACCCTTTTGTGCTCTTCCCCATTGCTAAGGCCTTCTCTCGGTGGCACCCGCGATCCCACCCCGGTCTCCCAATCCACCTGTTCTTCCCCACCTAATATTCTGCTCCATTCCCAGCCTGTCTCCTGAAACCTAATTTTGAAGATTCCACCTGTCTTCTCAAACAGGGTCGTTTCACTATAGGTCGTTCCATAGGCAGAACCCTCTGGTATCTATTTCTGTTGCCGCCTGTCGCTGATCCTGTGCAGATGCCCTTAATTCCCCTAGAAGCAGTCACCCTGCGACTTGCCCTGTAATCAACACACAGACTTGCTGAGCTAGCCATCCCTAAACTAAGGCTGGAGCCGGTCCCACAGCCCAAGGGGGATCCTCACAGCCACTCTTCGGGATCTTGTCTCCTGGCATCCGGCCTGAGGCTTCCCCGAGGCCTCCTCCGACAGACATCCAAGGCTTCCCCTCACCCAGCAAGGGACTTCCGTCCGCTCTGGGGCGCCTGGATCTAGGGGACCTCTCGATCACTGGACACCTCCCTAGAGCCCTAGGCTTGCCCTTCGCCCACTCCGGCCCCCAGCAGCGCCGTGGGCTGGGCCCTTCCTCTCCACCCGGCCTCTCGCCGCCTGGGGAGCCTCTGGCCTGGCCGCGCCGCCCACAGTCCCCCCGGGCCCCCGCCTGTGCTTCCGGCCGCCGCCTGCTCCTCCTCCCCCGTCGGGCCGCGCCGGTCGCCGCCACGGACAGAAAGGAGGCAAAGACGCGCGCCCCACTGCAAGGGCCCTCGTGGGTCCTCACGTTCCGGCCCAAGCCCGCGCCCCCCTGGCCGGCTGGGCCCGGCGCCCCCGCTCACCCGAGCCCGTGGTGGCTGCCATCTTGCGTCGCTGTAGCTCGAAGGCCGGCCCCTTCTTCACCCCCCGCCCGGGCCGGGTCGTGACGCGCAGGCGCACGCGCAGGCGCAGACGGGCCCCGCGCGCCCCGGCCAGGAAGGGAATCCGCAGACCTGCGAGAGCGGAGGCTTCCGGTGCGCGAGGGCCCGGCAACCTGCGAGCGTCCCCAGCAGGGAGGTGTGGGCTGCTGGGGGAGAGGGGCAGGGGTTAGGGTTTGGGAGGGCGGCGACCGTGCGAGTAACAGAGGAAGGGAGGTGCAGAACAGCGCCCGTTTCGCCCCGGGCGCTTTCAGTCTAGTTGTCTACTCATAGCCTTTCAGGATTAGCGTGAAAAGTGAAGCGGAGGGAGATTAAGCGTTTTCTCTGAACTCAGCTGTTAAGTAGCTGAGTCAGAATTTGAACCCAAGCCAGACTGTCTTGTTTCCAGGGCCATTTCTGCCTGGCCAGAGGAGACTTGGAGCGGGGCGCAACTGAGGGGTTTGGGAACCTGAAGACCACAGGAAAAGCATCCCAGCCACCCTTCATTCATTCCTTTACTCATCCGTTCAATCGCTTATCGGAACCAATATTTATGAAGTACCTGCTGTGTGCCAGGCACAGTGCTAGGTGCTAGACATGGAAATACATCCTCGAGGATGCAAATCCCTCCTCTCTGGGGCTTATATTCTGATCCGAAGCAAACTGAGAGCATGGAAACCGATAAATAGGACACTGTAACTGTGATAGGATTGTGAATGAACCATTCATGGAGCAGCAGGGAATGGCCAGGAAGGACCCTCTGAACTGGTCACAATTCAACAGAGATCTGAATGACGCTTAGGAGGTAGTGGGAACTGCATGTACAAAGGCCCTGGGCACACTACAAATAAATGATAAATCCCCCTTTATCATAAGTAATCTGAGAAGCTCTTATATGGATGTGGGAAGAGTCTGAGAAAGGTAAAGGCCCTGGTGCAAGGTCACATGGGTAACCCCCAGCACAGAAAGGGTCATTGTTCATGGGACAGCTGCCTTCCCAAACCACTGCACTGCTTTGGCTGGTGGGCGGCTGTCCTGTTCCATGTAGGTGACCTTGGCAGCTCCATTCACCCTATGGAGGTCAATCTAGGCAAAGCCCCCTCCTAATAAAGCCTTTAAATGCTCCCCATTTCTTCTGTATAAAGTAGTACCAGTTGAGGAAACACAGAATTATTCAATGGAGGCTGAGGCAGGAGGATCGTAAGTTTGAGACCAGCTTGGTTCACAAAGTGAGCTCAAGATCAGCCTGAACTGTGTAGCGAGACCCTGTTTTAAGAGATTTTTTAAAAATTCAATGAAATCAGGTAGGCAGTTTAATAACTTTAGATTCTGTCTCAACAAATAAAAAGGTCTGGAGATGTAGCTCAGTAGAAAGCCCCTGAGTTCCACCCACAGTAATGGCCGAGGGGGGGGGGAAGATTACCCAATGGAGGGCCAGGGATTTAGGTCAGCGGTGTAAATGCCTGCCTGGCAAGCGCGAGGTCATGAGTTCAATCCCTGGCGCGCGCGCGCGCGCGCGCGCGCGCACACACACACACACAAAAACCAGTAGAGACACGCATGAGACCACAGAGCCTTTTACAATCTCTCCAGGCCAACAGGTAGAAACCAGGTTTCTCCAGGACCTCTGTACTCACAGGCCCTGCACGGAAGCTAGGACTAGGATGGGGGCAGGTGAAGTCCAGTGGGTTCAGCCGGGTCCCACTCTGAGTTTGCAGGACCCTGTGAGAGCCTCCCTTGGCCATGGCGCTGCCAGCACCAGGACATGCTGCTCCTATAGTACATGCTGGCACTTTGCAAGGCCTCTGGAGCAGTCCATGCCCGCTCCCTCTCTGCCCCACCCTGCTCCCACCCACCCTTCCCAGACCCACACTACCCTCTCAGGGAAGCCCTCTGGTTTCTCCAGCCAGCTCAATCTCAGCTCTCCTTGGCTCTCAGCGTGCCAGGTGTTCCTCCCGTCCCGCCACGGGGATGCGGCTTGGTGTTCTTTTGTGTATCACATGATACCAAATTTGCCTTGGGGAGCGCAAAAAGTCCCTGCTAGACACTGGCTCACTGTAAAGCATCAGCATGAGTGGGAATGTGTGTACTCCAGAGGTGGACTCGCTTCTGAAGTGGAAAATGTCCAGGCTCAGGAGTCTCTTCGCCACTCAATTTGCTGTGTGACTTCAAGTAGATGAAACATTCTGGGCATTAGTTTCCCTTCTGAAAAGGGAAAAGATAGCCCAGACCTGAGACTTGCTATAGAGACAAAACATTTCGGTAAAATCCCTTGGCTTATGGAGGGAGGACACTACAAAAGCTGACATTTGCCAAGCGGTTGTATCTAGCTCTCTCCGAGGACTATACTATCTTACTTTCTTTTTTTTTTTTTTTTAAATGAGGTCTCACTATATCCGCCAGGTAGGCCCTGAACTAGCAATCTTCCTGCCTCAGCCTCCAAAGTGCTACAATTACAGGTGTGCACCACTGCAGCAAGCTGGAATATCCCTCTCTTAAAGATAAGAACACAGGACAACCCCCTTCCAGTTTCCCTCCCGTCTCTCAGGAGCGATCTCAATAAATTAACTCTTCACCGCCATTCTTCAATCCCAGGGAACTCAAACCTGGTGTATGTGACACCTAGCAGGTTGGCAGTTAGATTTTCCCCTTTGTCTTTTCGAAGCCCCAGCAACATGAGGAGATTAGAAACTCAGTGTTGACTTCTCTTACTCCTTTGGAATGTGTTCTTAAGCACTGGAATTTGTTCGACCCTCATATATTGAGAAAGAGTTGTTTAATATTTTTCAGCACCCGCCCAGGGCCTGCCTGCCCCCTAGAGACGCAGTGGAATGCACGGAGAAGCACTGCCTGTCCTATTTCACAACTAGAGTTGTGCCGGGAGAGAAAATGTGGTCAGAATTCCCAGGTTCAGACTTTCTCCGCATTAACCCTTATTTGTGTTCCAAGTGTCAGGTTAGCCACAGGGAAACCAGACACCTCTGGCCCTTAAGGCACAGTCTGATGCAGGTACAATTCCCGAGCCGAGGTTCCCCTCCTTGCCCTCTGGATCATAAGGACAAGGTTTCCAAGCCAACTGTCACTGAAGCCTCTCCTAGGCTGTCACCGTCTCTAATGAATTTTCTTTGAGCTCTTCAAGGACAGTAACCCTTATAGGAGGCAGGTGGAGGATCTGGCCCTACCTGTGTCCATCTGTCCTTTTCTCTCAGGGACTTCAAACAAGATCTGGGAACATTTTTCAGATGACCCTGATAAGCACATGGAGGTCTTCAGTGGACTTACTCAGACCTATGCAACCATTTTATTTTATTTTATTTTATTTTTTGGATCCAGGAGTCAAACTCAGGACCTCGCGCTTGCCAGGCAGGGCCTGCGCCCTTGAGCTATAACCCTGGCCTGAGACCTATGAATTAGGTTGGAAAGAGGTTATGTGACTGCGAAATCAAACACTGACTTCTAATGACAGACAGAGCTGCATCACAAGCTGCCATTACATTTGGGGGTGAACATCGTATTGTTAACTTCAGAAGGCCAGAAGCTAAAGTGCTGGTTCCTACTGGCCCACCAGCCAGACGGGAGATGAGGATAGAAATATCTCCCGACGTGTATTACTGAAGGTCTAAGAGGGATGAGAACCGGGCCCTTCAATATAAATTGTCAACCATTCATGGGGAGAAAGAGGAGAACCACTCTACCTACTAAGAGCCTTTACAAGACATTGAAAAGACATATGCCCCGGGCTCCTGTCCAGTAGGAGGGCAAGTTCTTCTTTTCAACCCTGGTCTTCCTTCCAGGCATCATACCTGCGTAAAATGTCACTGGGGAAGAGGTATCCCACTGTTTCTCACAATCATTAGGCTGTAACTGGGATGGCTGGCTTTCTCTTATTCTTTTTTTTTTTTTTTTTTTGGTGCTAGAACTCGAACTCAGGACCTTGCACTTGCCAGTCAGGCACTGTGCCACTGAGCTATATTCTCAGCCCCTCTCCCACTCCTTTTGGATTATGCCTGAAAGTCCAGTTCCCCTCCTGGGGCAAGGCCTCCTAGTTTGTTTAAATACTGTCATACACATGCATCCAGGGCAGGTATGTTGCCTCCCTCTGGTGGAGAGAGAAATAAGCCCTAAAACACGGGCAGCTAAAGGTAAAGCAGGAAGAGCAATGAGAGCTGCTCCAGGACAAACACATCTTAGACCTACCAGGTCTCCTGGGCAGAGACACACCCTCTAAGATCTGACGTTAAAAAGGAACTAGTACCTAAAACTGACCGCTTAAGGCACCAGGTCTACTTGGACCCTGTAACAGCCCAGTACTCCCGTAACAGCAATACTGCGATCTTGGCAGTCCAAAAACCCAATGGAGAGTGGTTGGTGCAGGGTCTTAGGTTGGTAGACGGGCCCAGGGCCGGTTCACCCAGCGGTACACGTGTTTCTCAGCTCCTGCAAGATGTCAGTTGGTTTTCAGTGTTGGATTTAAAAGACACCTGTGTTTGTGTTCCTTTACGTACAGATGACCAGTTTCTTTTTGCTTCTGCAAATCCTCATGACCAGGTTCAGAGAGAGTCCTCATCTTTTTGGACAAGGGCTTTCCCACGACTTGGCCTGTTTTGAGTTTTCCCAAGTCGTGGTCTGACAATATGTAGACGACATACTGTTACATGTGCCCTCAGAAGAGATCTCCAGCCATGGCACTCGTGCCCTGCTGAATTTTCTAGAAGACAGAGCTTTTAAGGTCTCTAGGTCTAAGGCACACTTTGCAGCCTTGAGGCAAAATACTTGGGCTTTGTGATATCTAAGGAAACCCTATGATTGAGGGAAGAGAGAACCAAACCAAGACTCTCCTTCCTGTACCCTAAAACCCTAAAACAGCTAAGAGGATTCCTAGGAATTATGGGCTTTTGTTGCCTTTGGATAGCAGGGTATGGTGAAATCGCAGGACCCCTCTATCAGCTTATAAAGAAAGCCCAGAAAGCAGATATCCCATATTTTGAAATGGGAAGCTGATTTCCAAAATGCATTCCAAAAGCTTACAGGAGTGCTTCTAAATGCCGCAGCACTGAGCCTAGAGCAGGACCCTGTTCCAGTCCACATGTGCTGAAGGTGCGGCCTGGCCTTGGGAGTGCTTACACAGGACGAAGGACCTGCTCAACAGCCTGGAGGGCATCTGAGTCATGAGTCAGGCATTGTAACAAAGGGAAGGCCTGCGTGCCTTAGCGCTGGGGCTGCCGTAGCCCTCCCAGTGCCAGAGGCATCCCAGCTGACCTTAGACAAAGATCTTACCGCACACACACCTCACAGTGTGGGGGGACTTCTTCCAAAGGGAACCTATGGATGTCAGACAACCCACTTCTTAGACAAGAGGCTCTTCTAGAAGGCCCGCCGTTCAGTGAAAACATGTTCCTCCCTAAGTCTGCCACCTTTTTGCCAGAAAAGGAGAAAATTTAAGCTGAAAGTCAACAACTGCAAACAGAGAAACACAGATGCCTTTCTAAAAGTTGTTACATCATTGGCTAAATTCCAACAGACTCTGCAGTATCCATAGAAGCTCAACTAAAGAAAAAAGAGGTCCCATATTCCACCGCAGAGGTCTGGCATGGTAAAATCTCTTCCTTTGTAGGGTCAAACGACCCTGTCAGCTCCATCAGCTGTCAAAGCAGCAGGCTGGACTCCTGGACTCAAACCCTAGGAACCAGAGATTGTCCCTGTGTGTGAGTGACCATCTTGAATACTCCTGGGAACCCTTAAAAGACTTAAAGTTCCTTTTCAAAAAGAAAACAAAATCTTCAGATAAGTAATCCACGATGTCGCTTTTAGCCTTTTTACTAAATACTTTCATACCATCTACAGGAGAGTGCAATTCCTTCCTAGTGTG